CGTAAGATCAATTTAAAAATAGACATCATCGAGGTATTTCTTCACCATGACATTTAAAACCCAATTCACAATCATTACAGTGGTCTTAGGACCCTCTCCTCCAACCAAAACAAAACTCAACGAGGGGAAGAAGAGGTGGAGAGGCAGTACAGTATATCGTGATAATGTGCTTCTCAATTTTATCAAGTATTTAATAAACAAGCAGAGGAAAAGAACAACCCGTCAACATGTTACCTTTGGTAGAAAAAAAAAACTTTTTTTTTTTAAAACACAAAACAAAAGAGCAACACACACTTTACCAGTCACTGCTCAGTAAGACAGCGATTGTTGCAATGTCGCGGAGATGAACATCCAGTGGGGTCTAGGAGAGCAACAAATACAATCAGGAAGTCTAAAGATCCTCATTCCCTTCAAACAGTTGATGTTTCCAACAAGACCCTTAGAATTGCTCCTAAAAGGGTATACCTGCCGGCATTCAAAACAGATAAAATATTTTTTCTCTTGAAGAGAAAAAAAGAGACCTAAAGGTCTTTATTTGTAGTTAAGTCCTCAAATAGGTCAGATGAACCAGTAGTTCCATAATACTGAACAACATGGTAACAGTGTGCGTAATTCCTGGTTGCGGGGGCGGGGTGAGGGAAAGGTTTGGGGAGTCACGTTGGTAAGGAACACTTGGATTTCTGACTATGTTTGCCTGAGTAGAAGGAATATTTGGTTTCAAGATTTCTTGTTCAAGGTCAGTCAAACGTTTCTCCCGGGAGAAATCAGTTCTGGATTCCTGAAAACATTTTCTTCTAGAGGTAGCTTCACGCCCACCCACTCCCCAGTGGTTTAATACTATTTATTCCGAGACCCGTCAGATGCTAACATGAGGTAGATGACTTTTGCCAAAAGTGAGGTAGGAACCAAACGAAACAACTGGTGTGGAGTGGAGTGAGTGGTGTGCGTGCCCTGTGCTCCTGGCCTGCAGGAAGCCAGAGAGAGTTGCAGAGCCTCGAGAGCTCGCAGCTCTCGGGTATCATCATCACACAAGTAGAAGGGTTCGACTTTGATACAGCCCCAGACTGTTGGAACCGCAAGAGTGATGTTTTCAATAAATACCCTAAATACTTTTTGGCACCATTGAATTTTTTTTTTTTCCTTTCCCCAAACAGAAAAACAAGCCTATTAATAACTTTGGCATTTCTTTCACTATCTACCAGAACACAGCAATCTTTGAATCTCCCGGAGAGGAAGACGACACATAGACAGACAGTATGCTGCTGCTTCAAGCCTAAAAGACACCCCTCCTCAAATCATTAAGCTTTGGCTTAACTAGAAGTACACAGACCGAGCCAATCTCAAGCTCTTCTCTTACAGCTCCAACTCAAAGTGCCTTAAACCTGGCGAACTTTTTTGGCCCAATACATAATTTAGATTCTGTTTATGGTACCCTTGTGTTTCCCTAAATAAATTACACTTAAAAGGGCATCCATCAGTCAAGGAGTTAGTGCACCTGGGGCCGTGCCCAGCGCCCTGGGCTCCAGCCACCTGCCAGCTGCAATACAGCACAGGCTGAGAGAGCATTGCCTCTCGAGAAGGAATGATTTTTTTTTTTTAAAGCAAAAGATGAACACTTTTGAAATGTGAAGTCAGTGACAACCAAAAGTGGTTTTTATCTGTGCGTTAGATTTCCTTTAGCCATCTCAATACCCAAACCTATATTTTCGAATCCAATTGGCATTTCCGAACATAAGCTGGCCTTATATCCCACCACCCTGCCACCTGACCAGATTAGACATACATGGGGATTATTGTCTGAACATCACATTTACTCAATAGAAACATTTTCCTCTCCTCCCTTCCGGCACCTAGGACCTCTCACCATGTTAAAAGACTTCCCTTTCTGACGCAATTCCTACCCACCCTAGCATCACCTCACATCGGGCAGGAGGTATGCACTTAAATACAACTAATTTTGAACAGCCTCCCTCACACTAGAGAGTTCCAAATATTGGCTTTTCTCCTCTTTCTTTGATTTGGAGCATTCCACATTGTCCAATAAACACATTCCAAAGTGCTTCGCACCAATCCCTGTGGATCAGGAGTCAATTGTGGGCGGCCACAGAGGCCAATGTTTTAAAAACAACATCTTCCCCAGCGTGACCATGTTTTGCAAATGGCAGTGATGCACAATTGTGGGTAAGGAGAGAGAAACCCCCACTGAGGGCAAAAAGAGGCAGCACCACCCACCCACCCACATTCCAGGGAGAACCTCCTAGAGCTTTAAGCCTGCAAATTGATCAGTCTATTGATTATAAGACCTGGTCATTTCAGCCATGTGTGGAAACTCTGGCTCTACAATCAAATCCATAGAAAAGTGATAAATAAGCAATTTTAGTGACTGCCATTCACCAAGAAAATTCCCCACTCGGGTCCCAAGATGTCCCCACATGTGGGAGACTGGGAAGAAAAGATGAGAGCAAAGATGATGATGAAACTGAACACGGAATAATCAAAGGGAGTAACCACACTTGGTACGTCATCCCAGCCATTATCATGACCTAGAGTTTTCTGAGAACATTAAAGAACTTTCAAGATCCATTTCTTCAATAATAATAATAATTAAAAAATGTTTTTAAGCATTTAAAACAAGTTGTCTTTGGTGTTTAAAGGGTGATTTGTTGGGTAAGGTGGGGTGGGGCTGGGGGTGAGGAAAAGACCAGCACCAAGTGATTCCAAAATAAAAAATAAAAATGCTTACTTACATGAGCTCTTTACCAAAGACGTTAGGGACAAAATAAAAGGCAACTGAATAGAAACTGAGGCAGGATTCACTGTTCAATTCTTCAATAAAAGAAAAGGCGTTTTTACAAAAATGAGACTTCCTGTCACCTCCCACCCTGTAACACAGCAAGCTGAGGCAGCAGGTTCAAGTTTTTTAAATTTTTGGATACTTTACTGAAGCTCTTCAAGAAATGAGGTTCCCCCCATTTCGGTCATTTAGAAACCCTAGAACCAAAGCAATGGGAACCGGGAATTGGTAAATTAAATGTCCAGTAAAGCAATTTGACTGATTTGTTAACACTGTCCCCGACATCTTTTCTTTGGGGATGACAAATTGCTTCATTTGTCAGTTTATTCTGTTCACTTAAAACGACATCCATATTGCAAAAGGGATTTCTTTTAAATTCAGGAACAGAAAGTGACCCGTTAGTCTGTTTAAACAAGAGCTCTTCCTGTAAGCCCCTGGCTTCCGAGAGAGCCTGTTTTCCTCCTGAGCTGTGCAAGTCTCGAATCTGGTTCTTATTTCCGTGTTTGCGGGAAATGCAGGGACCCGTGTGGGTTCTGCCAAGCAGGGTATCAGCCCCACCGGCTTCCCACTTAAAAGGACAGATAATGCCCAGAAGCACAAGGTTTTGTACCCAAGTCCAGGTTACTACGAACCAACCCTGTAAAGTGACCGACGCCGTCCCACAGTTCTGCAGTGGAGACCGGCTTCAATTTTCATTCTTTGGTACCGAGATAGAGGTTTCACAAAAGATAGTATGTCCTACATTTTGAGTTGGGGCAATTTAAGTTTACAGATCCTTTACATTCAAAGGCCTTTGGGGGGCGGCGGGGGATGCATGGGGTTGGGGGGGTGGAGAGACGTTAACCTTGAGGTCCTACGGTAGGGCGCGGGGAGCAGACCGCTTTGTAAAAGAGACCCGAGCAGAGGGTGAAGGATGATGGGCTGTCCCTCTGAATCTGACTTTCAAAACATTCTATTTCCCTGCACTTCCCAAGCAGGAAAAAAATTGTGCTTTTAAACATAAAAGTTCATTCCCTTGCCTACTACTCTTCTTAGCAAAAGGCATGCATGCTTCCACGAACAGAACAACATTCAACCTAGGATCGGGGATCAACCCCAACCCTCCTGCAGAGTCCGGAAGAGTTTGGGGGTGACTTGCTTCATTCTCACGCTCCCAAGCGACTACCTCGGGACACGCATGTGCACCCACCAGGCCATGTCCAAAACCCTCTTTCTGAGAATGAGGTCCACTCTCTTCTTCCGTTTGCTTAACTCTTTATAACCAACAGCAAACTAGGCATACTTAACTTTTGAGAATACTTTTAGCAAAAATGCTGAACTACATTTATTACTTTTTAGGAACTAAAGTAGGAAGAGAAAGGTTCTTTGGGAGGTTGTGCATCACCTTCAGCTTCATTAACCTGATGTAAGACGGCCTCACACACACGCCCCTACCTTGAAAGAAACAAAGGTGACATAAGCTAAACGAGGAATATGAGTTGGCTTTTCTCGACTGGCAAGCCACAGCCCCATCTTCTAGGAACAAGAAAAGATGCTGAACAGGATGACAGACACACTGAGATATAAAAGGAGAACATAAGAAAGTTCTCCATTGCAGCATTTAAAAAAAATTTTTTCCCCAAAAAAAGAATCAAGATCACACAACACAATCTAACCCCATAAACACAGTATTCTCAAGAACACAAATACTCTATAATTAAGCATTTAAAATCCTATTTTCCCACGTTTTATACTTTTTTGTGGTTTTTTTTTTTTAACTTAGTAGTTTTTTCCGTGTTTCCTTGGCTCAATCTACAGAGTATCAGCCCACCACACACATCCAGTGCCCTGCCAGCCAGAGACAATAGGCTTGTGCATGTCACGTCCCACGGAGGGGAAGAGGGACACGTGACCTCCACTGAACTGAGGGCCGGCTGGAGAAGGAAATGTAAAGATTTATGAGGTAGATAGAAATTATCACTTCACAGGCTCAATCCCTGCAGAAAAGATAAGTACATTCATCTGTAAAAAAAATAAAGATGAGGTAGGACTTAGGCAACGTTGTACTTTTCTTGTTCTCTTTAAACAAAAGAAAAAAAGAAATTTCCCTGAGACTGTTTCTTCCTTGAAATTCAAAAGGAGGAGAGAGAGAGAGAGAGAGAGAGAGAGAGAGAGAGAGAGAGAGAGAGAGATGCACACCCCAAACACAAAAGCCTAGAAAATGTGATTAGAAGATGAGGATTCGATTGTTGCCAAAGTCAACCACGACGATCATGCCATCGGGGGTGACGGCGATGCCGGAAGGACGGTCCATCTGCCCAAAGCCACTGCCCTGAGCTCCAAACTTGCACAGGAAGCTGCCGTTGGACTCGAACATCTGTACCCGGTGGTTCCTGGAATCGGCCACAATGATGCGCCCCTCCTGATCCACGGCCACGCCCTGCGGGCGCAGGAACTGCCCGTTGCCGGTGCCCTCCGAGCCCAGGAAGCGTGCAGACTGGCAATCGGGGTGAATAACCAGGAGCCGGTGGTTGTTGAAGTCGGTGACCACCAAGTGGCCCTCGTGGTTGAAGGCCACGCCCCGAGGGGAGTCAAAGTGCTTCCAGAGAGCCCCCTCGAAGCCATACTTATTCAGGAAGACGCCGTCGGGCCCAAACAGCTGGATCCGGTGGTTCCGCGTGTCTGAGACCAGGATCTTGCCCTCAGAATTCACCGCCACATCCCAAGGGTAGTTGAACTGCCCGTTTTTGGTCCCTTTCTCGCCAAACTTGAGGAGGAACTGGCCCTCGAAGGTGAAGACCTGGATTCGATGATTGTCCTTGTCGGCCACCACGATCCTGCGGGAGGCGTCGCAGGCCACCCCGGCCGGTCGGTCGAACTGCCCGGGCCGGGAGCCCAGGGTGCCGAATTTGTGGTGGAAGGTGCCACAGGGCTTGAACACCTGGATGCGGTTGTTGCTGCGGTCGGCGACCACGATGTAGCCCTCCTTGTCCACACTCACGCCCCAAGGACGGCAGAGTTTGCCATCGCTGTCGCCCTCGCTGCCGAAACTCAGGCCGGGGATCCCAATGCCCACGTAGCTGCGGCCCGACTTGACCACCACCTTGAAGGGGCTGTTCTCGATGTGCTGGTTGCACAGGGTGACCGACACCAGGTGCTCACCCTCCAGCTGGGGCCGGTAGCTCACCAGGTAAGTCCCGTTCTGCTGATCACTCACCTCGGCCCCAAACAGGTTGCCGTCAGGGCCCAGGACCACGGCTGACATCAGGTCGCCCCCCGAGAGACGAGGCTCTCCATCGTGGTCGTAGCCCATGACGGTGAAGGTGGCCACCTTACCCTGGAGGGCCCGCTTGAGGCCGTCGCCCGTGGCCTTGGTGAGCGGCGCGAAGGCCCCGCTGCTGACGAAGCCGAAGGACTTGATGGCGAGGTACAGTGCCTGGTCGGGGGGCGTGAACATGACCCGGTCGTCTTCCTGGGGCTGCAGGAAGCTGCGCACCGTCTTCAGCTCCTGCACCTGGGCCAGCATGCGGTCTCGGGCCAGCAGGATGTCCAGCGCCCGGCCCTCCTCCAGGACCTGCTGGACGGCGCTGATGGTGCTCTCCAGCTTGTTGAGGTTCTGCCGCAGCTTTTCCACCTGCAGGTACAGAGACTTGGCCTTCACCTGGCGGATCTTCTCTACCTGGAGGGAAAGGTGAGGATAGGGAGAGAGGACACAGAGGCTTAGAGCCAAGCACAGAGGCTTAGACCCATCACCTGACACTAGTCAGGAAGAACCCTCGGACAAATCCGTGCTGAGGAGATAATCCACAAAAACAACTGGTCTGCACTCCTCAAACTCAGCAAAATCCAATAGCAAAAAAAGGCTGACGAACTGTTCCAGGTATAGTGGATGACTACACAGACATGACTAAATGCAATGAGTGATCCTGGATTGGGCGGGGCGGGTGTGAAAGGAACGAGGTGGGGAGAGCTGAGTTGTGCTACTAAAAATACTATTTCTTTTTTTTTAAATATATTTTATTGATTTTTTTACAGAGAGGAAGGGAGAGGGATAGAGAGTTAGAAACATCGATGAGAGAGAAACATTGATCAGCTGCCTCTTGCACATTCCCCACTGGGGATGTGCCTGCAACCAAGGTACGTGCCCTTGACCGGAATCGAACCTGGGACCCTTGAGTCCGCAGGCCGACGCTCTATCCGCTGAGCCACACCGGCTAGGGCTAAAAATACTATTTCTGAAATTTGACTACTGACTGACTGAGGAGTAGATACTAGCACAGAACTGGGATTAAACTTCCTGATTTTAATGAACTGTGTGCTTAGCTAAGAGAATGTTCTTGATCAGAGGCAATAAACAGTTTAGAACTTGGGGGATAAAGGGATATCGTGTCTCCAACACCAACTTACTCTCAAGTCAGATCCATACATTTTATTATATATACGAGTAGAGAGAGTGATGAAAATAGGGCAAAATATAAATAACTGGTGAATCTGGATAAAGGATGTGCGGAGTTCTTTTATTATTAACCCCTGCAACTTTCTTGTAAGTTAGAAATTAAATAAAAATTAAAAAAAAAAACAGCCCTCTAACAAGTTGTTTCTTGAGTATCTACATTGTGTCAGGCACTGGAGGTACAGTGGCCAACGGAAAACATGGATGGTCCTTGCCCTCATAGGAGATTATACTTTTAAATGACATATACTCAAGCAAGCACACAAAGAAACAAGGTAAGGTAACTTCTGGTGATGATGGGTGTTAGAGAGTAGAAATGGGAGATGCGAGACAGCGTCTAGGGAGGCTGGATTTAGACAGAGGGATGTCAGAGACCCTTCCTTTTTCACAAGTCAACGGCTAAAAAGAGTGGTCCAGCCCTGACCGGTTTGGCTCAGTGGATAGAGCGTTGGCTTGCGGACTGAAGGGTCCCAGGTTTGATTCCAGTCGAGGGCATGTACCTTGGATGCGGGCGCATCCCCAGTGGGGAGTGTATAGGAGGCAGCAGATCGATGTTTCTCTCTCATCGATGTTTGTAACTCTCTATCCCTCTCCCTTCCTCTCTGTAAAAAAATCAATAAAATATATATTTTTTTAAAACACCACCATAAAGTCATTTTTTTAAAAATAAATGAGTAAAAAGAGTGATCCAAGCAGAGGAAAGAATAGGCATGAAGACCCTGAGGTGGGCACTTGCCTGGAATTTCAAAAAAACTAGTGAGTTTTACGCAGGGGAGAGACGTGAGTGGATGTATGTTCTTATATAACCTATAAGGAGCATGTATTGGAGAGGACAAGGGAGGAAGCAGAGACCAGCGAGCACCCAGGTGAGGGGTGATGGCATCTTAGGCCACAGTGGTGGCTGTGAAGGTGGAGAGATAGAAAAGTGGCAAAAGGATGCCAGAGGCAGAACCAGCAGGGCTTCCCAACAGCCGAGGCCAGCCTTCCACTCCCAGAAGACTGAACGGTCAGTGCTGCTACGGAGAGCCTGCAAGGCCTTGAATAAAATGCCACCCCCACCCTCACCCACAAGAAAGATACCGAGAGAGTAAAGGGAGTTGGTGAGGACCTAATTCCACGTTACACCTCCTCTGGTCTCCTCTCCTCACCTCTAAGAACAGGTTTTAGAAACCTTCAATAGGAAGCCCAAAAGGCTTACCCACAAAAGTTGGAAAAAGGAGCCCCCTAAATCTAAAATGCTATAGTAAACATGGATCCAGATCTGCCACAGTAATTCCTGCCTCGAAGGTGGGATTTTTGTCTGACCAAGGAAAAGAGTCATTTCTCCATTCTTTTGCATTAAGGAACTAAAAAGTCCTCTAATTCTAAGTGATTTCCCCCAGGAAGGGAGCACAAAGGTCACCCAGCTAGTTCACCCTGCTTTGCAGAGGACCGTGAATGCTGACTGCTCCGAAAGCTGCAGAAAGCCTTTTTCAGAAGGCGGGGAGGCCTGGATTTTCATCGGATTTTCCCTTGGGGAGTGATAAGGTGATTTCTGACCCATTCACCTGCTTTTTCATCTGCTCACCCTGGAAGCAAGACACGAATGTGTAGAGAGGCCCTCGTGGGGACAGGTCAAAGAGAGGCTTTGTCCTTCGGTCTTGCACTGGACCAAGCCTCCAGGCTTTGGTTCTGACCCCTCAGCCAGGTGGTTGTCGCTAACCCCAAGAGGAAGCCACATCCACTGGAAATTCATAAGCCACAAGAATTAAAGGTGGTTCACCTGGCCCTCCAGTATCTTGATGTACAATAGCTGAGATGCAAAAAGGCAAAACCTTATCACAAAGAGGTGCCGGGCAGAAAAATTTGTAATCAATAAAAGGGAGGAGGATTCCCACATGATGTGGGGCGGGGCACCATAGCAAAAGGTCAAGATAAAAGAGTGTGTCCAGAATGAGCAAGCCTATTTGGGAGGAATCTGAGAATGAGTGCTTGGGCAAGTAGAAATAATAACGTTTATTGCACAAAGAAATGGACTCTACCCGCCCCCCCCCCGCCCCCCCCCACACACAAATTTGCTTCTCTTAGCGTCAAAACTTGCTTTCCATTCCTCCTGAAAGAAAACTGCCTTTGGAGTCAGCCTCACGGGAGGGAGGATGAGAACGTAGGTGAGATCCGCAGAAACACACAAAGGCCTTTTCATCGGCAAATCCAGAAGAGCGAGTTTGTGGCAGAGTTCACCACAGAGCTCTCAGGTTGCAAGGAGTGGGCCCCTTTCAGTTATAATGAACATTCGTGGGTGGCATGAGGCTGACAGGCCACGGGGGCATCTGAGTGTCTGATAACCGTGTCAGGGCCACAAAGGTGCCTAAATAAAATATGTGCTGAATTAAACCTTGGGACTTTTTTCCTCCCACGGAGTCTTCCTCTTCTTATCAAAAAAGCAACCGAGCCATATTCCTTGAGAGGTCGGACGAAAGCAGAAAGCAGAGAATTAGGAGCTAACTAAATGGGAGAGTGCAAGATCCGAGGTAGCCTTCCAGAGAACATTTTAGGGCGTAGTGATACGTGAGGGCCACCTCCAGAAATCGAGGTCCCACCTCGCTACCATCATATAGTTTGATGATCAAAACAAGCACGCTCACCCTTTATATGTGGCCTCACGTGTGCGCTCAGAGAATGTAATTACAGTGGAACTGGCGTGTGGCACAGGCCCAGTAGGTAGGGAGAGCCATCTTTCCAGCTGATTTTTAAAACATGTATATTTGTATTGATTTCAGAGAGGGAGAGGGAGAGAGATAGAAACATCAATGATGAGAGAGAATCATTGATCGGCTGCCTCCTGCACGCCCCCTACCGCAACCTGGGCATGTGCCCTTGACCGGAATCAAATCTGGGACCCTTTAGTCTGCAGGTCGACGCTCTATCCACTGAGCCAAACCAGCTAGGGCTCCAGCTGATTTTTTATCTAAACAGCACACCAGTGTGCTCAGCATGCTTTCCTGCTCCAACAGGAAGAAAGGGCACACGCTCACTGCCCTCGCCAAGTGGAAAACTGGCCTTCCACAAGGGTTCAGGAAGTGCAACCAGCCAGGACACCGAAAATAAGGATGTTGCCTACCAGCCTGCTTTCCTAACAACGGCTTCGATTGTCCGTCCTCTCAGCTTCCTTCGGAGCATGTGTGCCATAGAAAACTCGGGACTCCTTCCAGTCTTGGTACCCGACCACTTCTGAAAAGGCTTCTTGTTATTTTACTGCCTGGAGAGCACCCACAAGGTTCCAGGGACCCCTGGATTTTTCTGCCAATGGAACTCTGGACAACTACCAAGTCATCTAAATTTAGAGCTGGGGCCCAGGATCTGACATGTGGTTCATGGAAGAAATGCTGGCGGGCCGAGGAGGCCCGGACTGGTGGGGTGC